AATTAATTTATATTTTAAATTTAAATTTTAAAATTTATATTAGTTTCAAATATCTTCCTTACATATTTACATATCCAATTGAATGGTTCCTTTTGGGATTGTGATTCTGATTTTGGTAATCAAACCTTAATGAAAATGGAAATGTTTCTTCAAAGTTGTCATTTAAAGGGTCGAAATTGTGCCCTTTATTGATATTGCTTAAGTTTTATTATTATTTTTAGAAGGATAACTATGTTAAAGAGTAGGATGTGTAATATTTTCATAAGGTAATAGAATATCATAGAGCTATTTGTGTGATTGAAGTGAATGAAATCAATTAGATGCCCTCATTTACAAGAATTCCTAAATTAAATTTGATGCAGCTTTTGATGAAAACTATAAAATGACTAGATATCCAATGCATATGAGGGAAGGTTCATTTAAGTATAGTCATTAAAATTAATCATATGACAAATTCTCTTCATGCAAAAATGAGAGTTAAATTTAAAGGTTCCCTTTTAAATAGGGTGGAAGAGTGCATGATATTGTTGAATTCACCAAAGTTATATTACTTGCTGCTTTTAGCATGTGAGGAGTGAAGCAAACACTTTAGCACATGGTTTATCTAAATTGGAATGTTAATATAGATGGTCTAAAAATTTGGTTTGATTCACTTTCAAACTTCTTTATTTATCATAATGTTATTTGATTCTAAATGCCTTAATGCCATAGTCCTATTGAGATTGAAAGTAATTACTTAAGATAAAATGTAAATTGAAATAGTTGACATAAATAAATTGGAAATAATGGTCATTTACTATTATGTCAAACACGTTAAAGAAAGAAAACAATAAAATTTTATTTATTTTATTATTTTCAAATTACAAAATTTTTGTTTGAATAATATATCATGCTAATCAAATAGTTTTTTCTTTTTCTTTTTTTTTATAATATATCATGCTAATCAGATAGTGAATAGGTAATAAATCAGTTTAAATATAATTTTTTTAAAATTAATGGTAATTGATATGTATCATTTAATCAATTCACATGTTCAAAAATTATGTATCTTTCACATTTTTACTTGAAATTCAAATATATTATGGAAAGAAGATATTTGATTTAAAAAGAACCATTCAATTGGATATACTAATATGAAAAGAAAATATTTGAAATTAATTTGTTTTGTAATATAAATTTTAAATTTTAAAATTTAAATATAAATTAATTAAAGATACATTTCAATTTTTTTAGAATATTTACATGTCAAAATATTAAATTATCCAGTTAGAACGATTGCCTTTTTTGCTAAAGATTTTATTTATCATAATGTTATTTGATTCTAAATGCCTTAATGCCATAGTCCTATTGAGAATGAAAGTAATTGCTTAAAAGATAAAATGTAAATTGAAATAGTTGACATAAATAAATTGGAAATAATGGTCATTTAATATTATGTCAAACATGTTAAAGAAAGACAACAATAAAATTTTATTTATTTTATTATTTTCAAATTATAAAATTTTTGTTTGAATAATATATCATGCTAATCAAATTGGTTTTTTTTTTTTTATAGCATGCTAATCAAATAGTGAATAGGTAATAAATCTATTTAAGTATAATTTTTTTTTAATTAATGGTAATAGATATGTATCATTTAATAAGTTCACATGTTCAAAAATTATGTATCTTTCACATTTTTACTTGAAATTCAAAAATATTATGGAAAGAAGATATTTGATTTAAAAAGAACCATTCAATTGGATATACAAATATGAAAATAAAATATTTGAAATTAAATTGTTTTGTAATATAAAATTTAAAATATAAAATAATTAAAGATACATTTCAATTTTTTTAGAATATTTACATGTCAAAATATTAAATTATCCAAGTAGAACGATTGCCTCTTTTGCTAAAGATTTTTATTTATCATAATGTTATTTGATTCTAAATGCCTTAATGCCATAGTACTATTGACAATGAAAGTAATTACTTAAAAGATAAAATGTAAATTAAAATAATTGACATAAATAAATTGGAAATAATGGCCATTTAATATTATGTCAAACATGTTAAAGAAAGACAACAATAAAATTTTATTTATTTTATTATTTTCAAATTATAAAATTTTTGTTTGAATAATATATCATGCTAATCAAATTGTTTTTTTTTTATAGCATGCTAATCAATTAGTGAATAGGCAATAAATCCATTTAAGTATAATTTTTTTAATTAATGGTAATTGATATGTATCATTTAATAAGTTCACATGTTCAAAAATTATGTATCTTTCACATTTTTACTTGAAATTCAAAAGTATTATGGAAAGAAGATATTTGGTTTAAAAAGAACCATTCAATTGGATATGCAAATTTGAAAAGAAGATATTTGAAATTAAATTGTTTTGTAATATAAATTTTAAAATTTAAAATTAAAATATAAATTAATTAAAGTTACATTTCAATTTTTTTAAAATTTTACATGTCAAAATATTAAATTATCCAAGTAGAATGATTGCCTTTTTTGCTAAAGATTTTATTTATGATAATGTTATTTGATTCTAAATTCCTTAATGCCATAGTCCTATTGAGATTGAAAGTAATTACTTAAGATAAAATGTAAATTGAAATAGTTGACATAAATAAATTGGAAATAATGGTCATTTAATATTATGTCAAACACCTTAAAGAAAGATAACTATAAAATTTTATTTATTTTATTATTTTCAAATTATAAAATTTTTGTTTGAATAATATATCATGCTAATCAAATAGGTTTTTTTTTTATTGTATGCTAATCAAATAGTGAATAGGCAATAAATATGTTTAAGTATAATTTTTTTTAATTAATGGTAATTGATGTGTATCATTTAATAAGTTCACATGTTCAAAAATTATGTATCTTTCACATTTTTACTTGAAATTCAAAAATATTATGGAAAGAAGATATTTGGTTTAAAAAGAACCATTCAATTGGATATGCAAATTTGAAAAGAAAATATTTGAAATTAAATTGTTTTGTAATATAAATTTTAAAATTTAATATTAAAATATAAATTAATTAAAGATACGTTTTAATTTTTTTTAGAATATTTACATGTCAAAATATTAGATTATCCAAGCAGTACGATTGCCTCTTTTGCTAAAGATTTTGGTTTTTATAATTTATATAAGATAAAACACATTATAATTATGTATCATCCTAAAAGTTATTTTATTAACACTATGTATCTGTGCATTTCGCAAAATTAAAATTAGTAATTACTTAATTCTTTTTTTTTTAAACAAGAGATAAATCATATTTTGTAAATTTTCTCATTGTTTCAAATTAAATTAATGTGTATTAAAAATGCCAATAGTAATCTATTTGTTGATGGAGTGTTAACCAGAAATGTTTCCCACCGGGATAGAAGTCAAATAAAAAATGTATGTATTTCAATGAAATGAACTTGAACCTGAAAAAAAAAAAAAAAATTGGACCTGACTTTTTGTTTGATGTTCATCTTATGTCAAAATGACGTAAAATTAAGAGCCTAAGCCCATTATCTACTCCCTAATCATGGGGAAGTGCCAAAGTCCAAACAAAGGTCTAGTCTAAAACGTAAAAGACTCTACGTCAGTCTAAACGATAAGGAGAAACATCTGTTGTACGAGTTTCTCCTTTCTCGCTCCGTCAGTCACGCTCTCTCATGGAAAAGTCTACAGCTTGGAAGTTAATTAGATCCCCAACTAAAGTTTCTCGTACCGCAATTAGACTTGTTCGGTTCTGATTGCCCGTTGGATTTGTGGGTTTGACTGATGCAGATTGGATTCTGACAATAGTTTTTAAGTTTGAATCCAGTTTTGTTTGAAATATTATTTAATTAATAATTTTTTTATTTAATGTTAATTTCAAAATATATTTAAAATAATAATATTTTAACTTGACAACTTCTTACATGTTTTAGACGAAAGAAATTAAGAAAAGCGCACCAACGACCAACAAATTTTCTAATGTTGCTCCATAATTTCCCTTTTTCTGACCTTTACTAGAGTTCGGTTTGAAAGCGGCCCGCCTTCTTCCCTATGAAAAGGGTTTTTGTGCCACGTTTGTCACATTCTAAGGAGGTCTAATTGTTCTTGTGCAGGTTCAATGGCTATTCTTTCGGAACAATATGACTTGAATTTTTCTGTTTTTTTCCCACTCCTAGTGAGTGTCTCCTTACAGTTGATATTACTGATGTATGTCTAAAAGAAAAAAATATATATATTGTGACAAACGAACTACGAAATTCAGTTTATCGGGCTCAAAGGGAAGAGCAAGGAGAAAACAAGAAGTAGAAAAAAAAATATTTCCTGGAAATTATATATATATTGTAAGGAGAAAAAGGGCATTTTCCTACAAATGGTTTTGTGCCAAACCTATATGATGACCGACAATCAGTTAATTATAATTAAATAGTTCAAAGTCTTTGAAAAATAGTCATAGTAATGGTTTCGTTTCTCATTGAACTGCACCCATTTAACGGTGCAAAATTGAAATGAATGATGAGCCTTTCCAACTCTGACCATATGGAAACTTTAGTCCAAGCATAGCATCATGATTCATGTGGCATTCCAGCGCCATTGATAGCGGCAGTGATTTCCAGGGCACGGCCACCGTGGGTCCAATAACGGTAAAAGATTTAGACCAAATTATTTAAATGAAATTTGTTAAATTTTTTATTAAAAATATTAAATTAAAATTAAAATAAATAAATTGAAAAAGTTTTAGTATATAAAGTAAGTGTGTAAAATTTGAAAAAAATAAATTTTGATTTTTTATAGGTAATTTTAGTTTAAATTTTTTTAAAAAAATTTATAATTAAATAAATACTTATCAAATTTGAATTATAAATAATAATTTTAATAATTTTTTATATATTATTAATTTTTACATTAATCTCTGTTAATTTTTCAGAGTTAAAATTTTTATTAGATCATTTTTAAATAAAATTTGCATAAACTTCATTTAAAAAACTCCATCTAAGTTTTATTTTAATAATTCTAACTAGCATCTACAGTAGGGTTGGTTTCGATTTCTGACTTGAAATTCCCCGATCTCGTGGGTTGATTTTCCAAGTTGCAAGCTGCTAAACCGAAACCAACTATAAAAGAACCTTGCCCACCCCATCATTCTTCACATCACATTCCTCGCATAGAAGAATCGCACACAGTTGCTAGAAAGTAAAAGCCTTAGATACTCAACAAATCTTGGCTTTTTCTTTCCATTAGAAACCATGACTTCCAACCGTAGCTTGAAGATTGTCCTAGCTCTTTCAATATTTGCCTTCTGCTTGCAAGCAACCCTAGGTTCTCAAATCTAATACTTAGCACATGCAGCTTTTTTTTCCTAACAAAGCTTTATTAATCTGTTCATTAGAAAGACATTTTAACGTAATTATATATTTTGGTTGCAGGGGAAATAACATGTGAACACCTTGACCAAGACACCTGCGCCTACGCAGTATCGTCTACAGGCAAGCGCTGTGTGCTAGAGAAGCACGTCAAAAGGAGCGGAGAGGAAGAGCTAACTTGCCGCACATCTGAAATTGAAGCTGATAAGATCAAGAACTGGATTGAAAGCGACCAGTGTGTCAAAGCATGCGGGCTCGACAGAAAATCCTTTGGCATCTCATCAGATTCCCTCCTCGAGTCTGGCTTCACAGAAATGCTTTGCTCACCTCAGTGCTACAACAACTGCCCCAACGCCGTCGACCTTTACTTCAACCTGGCCGCCGGAGAAGGTAACATATAGTATAACAATAATATTAACTTATTGTGGAGAGTAGAGACTAGAGATTACACAAGAGCACTGATTTTGTTTGACCGCTACCTGTCTTGGTAGGTGTTTTTCTTCCAAAATTATGTGAGGCACAAGGAGCAAATGCACGCAGAGGAATGGCTGAGATCCAAAGCTCTGGTTGGGTTGCACCAGGACCCGCCAGTGGCGTGAAGTTCTGGGGAGTGGCCCCAGCAATGGCACCATATTAAATCTTGATTAAGTGGAATTTTTACAAAATCTTAGTAGTTTACAATAAAAGAAAGCTGCACTAGGGTTTAGAAACAGGGCTCAAGTGCATGGACCAGCTTAATTTGGTGTGTGCATGTGAGCCATGAGCTTGATGTGTTCAATCCAGTAAGGTGCTACTTTCTAGATAGATATGTTACGAGGTTGTGTGGTAACATACCCAGGTTTTTTTAGTATTTGCTTATTGTAATGGGTATGAAAAACCAAATTATGAAATACAGATTTATAACAGATTTATAGTTTTATTTACGTGATTAATTACAATCTTTCTTTTTATTATTATCATGGGATGAAAAACGATCAAAAGGAGAAAACGCAATTCCATTTATAATAGTCAAAACTCAAATGGGGATAAATATTTCCATTAAATTGAAAAAATGGAAACTGATGAATTTGGGAAAACTTCTTCAACCTTTTTTTTTTTTTTTTTAATTTTTTAAACTTATGGTAGAAGATGTGTACTCTAAGATACATGAATGATCATAATCCTAAAACTTCTACCAAGACTAAATCATCCACACCAAAAAAATATCTTCTTTAATATTTACAATTTCTTCTTATTATTTTTTGTTACAAAATAAGAACATGCATAAGGATATATCATTCACTAAATATAATACTAATTAATGATAAATTAATAAACGTACAGAAGGTAAACCATATAACGGCATTTGCTTAATGATGGTTTAATTAACATTCAAGCTTACCGTTGATATCCCAATATAACTTTAGCTTAATGGTAAGAAGGAAGTCCTAACACTCTAAGGTCTTAAGTTTAAGTTTTATTATATGTAAGTTTAATTATTTAGTTATGTTCTAGTTTATTAATTAATTATTCAATTAATCATATTGACATAATATTTTATTATAATTTTATCAATTTCAAAAAAAAAAAATGTTTACTGCTGCTAGCATAGTACTTGTTCATTTATATCACTTGCCAAACACCATTCTCTACCCTAATTAATAAATCAGGCCCATAAATAATTCTTATCATGCCTTTTTGTTTGTTAAAAAAAAAAAAAACAACGAAGGAAGACTAATATCAAAGAAAACATTAATATAGAAGCCGTACATGATAATTTAATATCATCATTAATTTATAGAAGCCCAAAAAAAAAAATTAATTATGCTCTTACACGGAGAAAATTCACCTAATCCAAAATTTAATTAGTTCAATTGGTATATAAACATATTAAAAAATGACATTTAATAAATTTAAATTTAAAATTTAACACTTATAGCCCATTTCCTATCCTCAAGCTATGATCTCCTTCATACAAAAAATATATTGCAACATTAAAAGAACAAAATTAATAGAAGCTAAAAACTAATACAAACGATAAATGTATAATAAGAGTAATTAGATAATTGGTGATTTCAATCTTGTATATAATTCACCATCGTCCCTATTGTAATTTTTTTTTACAGAATTACACATTTTTAATGTATCAAATTTATAAACTCATGCACATATTTGTATGATATAAATTAAGCCAACTTATTCTAACTATATTAAATTGGACGTGTTTTGCAAAAATAAAAATGGAGAATTCTTCCGTTTCAAAACATATTTCTCTTTTTAGTTTTTATTTTATTAGGAAAGTTAGTGGTTAGAAGATGGGATGATGGCAGCAAAGAGGATTTAATTTCAACTCATATTCTTCCAACCTATAAAAATTTTCACTTTCAAAGTCCAGTCAAAGGTAGTTAATTAAAGGCTTAAAGCCTTCTTAATTTCTCAATACATAAAACGTGTTAGTGTAGAGACTTCTTGCAGTTTGGTGTAGCATACAAAGCCCTTCACCTGGACTGCACCAAAAATCAAGATGCCTCAAAGGTCAACCTTTACATGTATAATTTGATTAACAAACTAGTAAACTTGCCTACGAAGCGTCGATATGGCCCAAAGTGAACTCTGAGAGTTCGAAGGTCCAAATCAGCTTTCCTATTTCCAAAATCTGCAACTAAAACCCAGCCCAAGGACCACCATGTACCTGCCCTGATCCTTGAAATTGGCAAATGAATATACCCGAGCAACCCAACAATCACATCTAAAGAGGTGCCTTTCTCGTCTCGGGTCGATAATCATATGCTTTTTTATAAATAATAATAATAATAAATTTTAAATTCATTGTAATATTATTTTTTTTAAATAATTTTTTTGACGTGCATGACTTTTGATACTTTATTATTGATCATAGATGGTTTTAATAATTATTGCAAAAATAAATAACAATGATATCCAAACTTAAATTCTTTATTTTCAACATCTTGCATGCCTATAATCATCCCTTGGAAGAAAAGAAAGATGGCATCTGAATTACAATACCAACAATTTAATAACTGTTCCATATATTCAACTTTAACACACAGTCCCAAAATTATAACTAGCTAGTTGTTGGTCACCTAAGCTTAACCTTCAGAGATAAGTGGCTTGGGTTCGAATAAAGATTAATCTAATTCAAGTCATCAAGTTTTGATATTCTTATCTTAGAGAAAAGCATAATTTTCAATTTTAACAAAGATACGATCATTGATACCATGTCAGGGCTGGTCCGAATGCCGAGAATGTTGTTGTGGCTTCAAGCCTTCAATTCCTTTTGTCTTTTACTTTAGTGAAAGTGAAGTTATAAAGCATGCGAAAAGTGAAAGATAAATGAGTGTTCAATCTCAATTTGATCTTATATGCTATATATTTCCTATTCTTAAATTCATGATTTCTGTTGGTTTCTAATGGCAAGAATCGGCTAACAGGACAGTTTCATTTGGCACGTGTGCAAACAGTTGCAGAAGAATATATAGTGATTACGAAACCAGCAAGGAATCAACAGACAGACACTAGTAACTTGCAAGAAAGACACCAACAACTTCTGGTACAAATGAAAATTTCTAATGCAAAACCCACTTCATCACTTAATACTCATCTCGATATTTTTGTCATATCTTTTTTGCGCATAGACCTGCTTACTAAATTGTACGCTTCAATGAAAGTCTGTCCAATTAGCAATTGATATGAGTTTTCGTGTCTAGATTTTTGCCAATATCACCGAGCAGAGTGCAAGCAACGCGAGAAGGTCACAGTTGTTTTGCCATTATAATTAGCAATATATGAGTTTCCGTGTCTAGATTTTTGCCAAATTTGGAAAGGAAAACCAAAGATAGTGTCGGTGACTAAAATGCCATCACCTTCTTAAAAGCACAAGCAATATTGAAAAAAAGAAACCATTGAAATTCACAAAGCAATTCAACTTCAACCTAACCTAGAAACAAAAATGCAAAGCAAAAGATGAAGCCTGACTTGTAAACATATGTTTTGTCGTGCAAGGCACTTATACTCGAATGGGTAAAAATATTCAAAACAAAAGGAAAAATATACAAAATTCAACGTGATAAACCCATAATATGTTATGGTGTGGGATCAGCCCCATACTATTATTGTCTTAAAAGGCCCAATAAGTAATATCAAAGTTATAATTATTTTTGAGTTATTGATATAATAGCAACCCAAGATAGAAATAATTTTTATTTAATATCATAGAAGGTGATACAAGTTCCATAATAAAATTAACAGCTTAAATTATTCAATTTAGAAGCCAATGATAGAGAATAATTTATACTACAAAGATTTGTATGATTCGGTATTAAGTGATTTGATTAAACCAAAAAATATGAAAGATGAAAGCTGGAAGAAACTAGATAGAAAGACACTAGTCACAATTAGAAATTAGGTTGATGTTAGTATATTCCATCATGTAGCGCAGGCCCACATTCTTTAGAAAAAATTAGCAGCATTATATGAGACAAATATAGGCATGAATAAAGTTATGCTTATTAAAAAACTTGTAACTTTATAGTACAAGAATTGATGATCGATTACAAAGCACTTAAATAGTTTTTAAGATATATTCAATGGAATGACTACTATGGAGTTTAAAATGCAAGATGAAATGAATGTGTTGAATCTTTTAGGTTCATTTCGAAACAACTAGAATACTCTAGTTGTGACTATTCTTAATTCAACTACTATCTAAAAGGTGATTTTGGATATGATAAAAGACAATATGCTTAATGATTAAGTAAGGTGAAAAGAGAGACAATGAATCAAGCTTTTGTCATAGAAAATAAGGTAGAAACATTGATAGAGGTCAAAATTCAAAAGACTATAATAAATCTAGACATAAATTTAGTCCAAAGATAAAGTAAAGTGCTACCATTGTGGTAAACCTAGTCACATAAAACAGAAATGCAAAATCTTGAAAAAAGAACAAAAATATGAAAAAGACAAGAGTCCAGATAATGGTAGTGTTATAGTGGTGAATTCAGATAATAATTCAGTTACTTTGATTTGTACACATGGCAACTATAATTTGATTGGTAATTCAGGCATTAAGTGGATAATTGACACAAGAGCAACATATCATTATGTTTAAAAAAAGAGTTGTTTACAACTTGCAAAGTAAGAGACTTTGATTGTACCAAGATAAAAACTAGAAATGTGTCACAGATTGTTAGGATTAGTGATATTATTATACAAATTAGTATAGGTTGCATGTTGACTTTGAAGAATGTCAGATACATTCCAAATATAAGAATAAACTTGCTTCCAATTAATATCTTTGATAAAAAAAAAGATATTAAAGTTAACAAAAGAATAGATAGTGAAAACTTCTCAAATGATCTATGAGAGTTGCAAGAGAAAAATTATGTTGCATAATGTATAATATATGGATATAATTAAACGGCAACCAGATAAATGCTATTGAAGATGATGCTTTGACAAATTTTGAGGCACAAAAGGTTGGCATATTTGAGCAATTATCGCTTTTAGCAAAGCAATCTCTTATTTCCTTGACCAAAAGTATGTTTATCGTTTCATGTGATCATTTTTTGCATGGTAGGTATCGTAGAGTTTCTTTTCATAAGCATTTTTAGAGGAAAAAAATATATTGAAATTGATTCATTTTTATGTATGTGATCCTATTGACGTGAAGTCATTGGGTAATAGCAAGTATTTTAGTACTTTTATTGTGATACCTCACATAAAACTTTAGTGTATATATTGAAAAACAAAAGTCAAGCACTATAATATTTTTAAAAAATTCATGCCATGGTGAAAAGGATGACAGAATTACCCTTGAAGTGTATTTAGATTGATAATGATGGAGAATGTACATATAAAGATTTTGAAAAATATTGTTCAAAGCATAGGATCATGCATTAAATAACAAAACCTAGAACACATCAGCATAATAGTGTAGCTGAAAGGATGAATTAACCATTGTGGAAAAAGTAAGATGTACGTTGAAGATGGTAAAATTACTAAAATTATTTTAAGGTGAAACAGTGAACACAACCTACTATTTGATTAACATATCACTATCAGTTCCTTTGGGCTTTAACATTCCAAAAAGAGTATAGATAAGAAAAATATTTCAGAAAAATGTTTCATACTCTCACTTGAAGATTTTTAGGTATAAAGCATTCATACATTTGCCAAAAAAATAGAGATCAAAGCTTGATAGTAAAGCCACACAATATGTATTTGTTGGATATGATGATGAGAAATTTGGTTACAAGTTATGGGATCCAATAAAAAAAATCAATCAAAAGTAGAGATGTGATCTTTCATAAAAAAAAAACCAAAGAAACCTTAAGAAGAATAAAAGGCTACACGAGTTGTTATTGATTCATGTGATCATTTTTTGCATGGCAAGTATCGTAAAGTTTCTTTTCATAAACATTTT